TTACGTTACTACTACACACATATATATATATATATATATATATATATATATATAGTTTACTACGATCGCGCTTGCATCCGTGCGACACAATTATCATGATCGACCCCATTAACACTCACCACCTCCATTCTGTTGGCACAGGTAAGGAAACCTCCAGATATTGCCCAGACCGACGCTGTATCCGATAATACTGAGAAAGAATTGCATTTTCCCGCTCCATGCCGCCCTGTTCTCTTCCTTCGTGTCCTGGCCGTCGGCAACATTTTGACTCGCTGTCGTGACGATCGTCACGTTGTGGGCGGGTTGGCGGTGGTCGTTTAAAGGAGCCAGCTCGTGCCCATTTCTTCCGGTCTCGACTACCATTCTCTCGTGAATCTCGATGAGTACACAAAGAATCCAATCGCTCTTTCCCGGCGGGTGGTGTACTTAATTGAGAGCTTCAGCACACTCCTTGTGTTTGTTTGCCAAGCTCGCACACCCGCGAAACCCTCGCACACGCGCCACCTCTCCTCTCCACTTCCTGCCGCGCGTTTATTTCCTTTTTCTCGTGTATATACACGAATCCGCTATATCTTCTTCCCCTTCTGTCAATTACCGACACGATTTGGCAGGAACACGTGTCTTTGCGACCGCGCGCGCGAGAATCCCTCACGAATCCGTCACCACTACTACCACTACCACCGCCGCGCTATTCATCGACTCCAGCGGGAGCGGATGGGCAGCTGACGTATTAGCAATAACGTGGATAACAATAATGTCAACAACAACAACAACAACAACAACAACAAACGGCTAACAACGGTGATAGTTATCTTCACTATTTATCTATTCGTAATATTCAACAGTGTCCGCGCGGTATCGCGTCCGTAAAAATACCGAGATCCTCGGAAGAGCGACCGGCAACAATTCGTTTCTTAATATCACTCGTGCACTCCTCCTCGACGAAGGGAACAGTATCTCTATATTCGAGTTCCGTTCGTCTCTTCCTGGTACGCGCGTGACCCAGTGGTACTTCTTATTGACTGTTTGCGAACGCATACGCGAACGCGACCGCGGGCTGAAAGTGGGCTGCGGCAGGATGGCAAGGGCGCGAGGTATGAGGAAGGATATGTCATAGGATAGGCTAAGGCCCGTTCGCGAAATGGAGTGGGCGGCGGACGTAGGTGACCCGATAAAAATCGAGCGTCGATTGGCGTGACGTTACGAGAGAATCCGCGGCCTCCGCGGGTCACGTGTCACAGTCCTCGCCGTCGAAGGATATCGATGGCCGATGGATTCGAGGGGAGTTTCAGCACGCGCTACCTGACATTGATGGAAGAAGCGCAACGGGGGTCGTAAAGGGGGGTTGGCGCACCTAACGTTACGTTTGGAAGCAATCGTAGCGTGAAAAACGGAGTGAGAGAGGGGGCGAATGAAAGTACGCGTGTCGTTAATAGCCACCGTCGGGACGAAATATCGATCGATCCTCCGCGCGGAAGCGAGATACCGAAATGATGGAGAGAAGGAGAGAAAAGAAGAAAAGAGACAGAGAGGTAGAGAGAGAAAGAGAGAGAGGGATAGAAAAGAAAAAGAGAGGACAAAGGGTTTTAATTTCTGGCTTGTCGAAGCAGCGACCGATGACACGATGGCCGAAATTCAAAGTAGCTCGATTTTCTTCGGGGGATGTTCTCGTTAGTCCTTAAACGTATGCCTCTTCAGCTTCGATGAAAATCAACGTCAGCAGTCTTCTCTTTTCTTTCCTTTATTCCAGTTGCCTTTAAGTCGCTGCCGTTTGCGAATTGATGTAGTTGGAAGTCATGAGTCCAGCATTATAATCCGTCTCCCTCGGCTCGACTCCACGCACGAGGAAGACGTGGTGACCGACGTCAGCGTTACGCCTCTCCTCGTCGTCGTCGTCGTGGTCGTCGTCGTCGTCGTCGTTGTGGCCGTTTCCGCCGCTGCCGCCGCCGTCTTCGTCGTCGTCGTTTCAAATTTGGTACAAGGTCTCGGAGAATTTATTATCGGCGCGTTTATTATTTAAACTCGGTGATCTTCGGACGGGTCAGACTGACGTCGCAGCGGACGCGCGTGTGTCGTTGAAGAGCGAGGGTCCCGAGGCATTTGGTACCCATGTATACCACTTCCCCACACCGCGTTGAGCTCTGTCCGTTTCCCCGTTTTGTTTGCTTCGTTGTTCCACGTCGTATCGTCGGCGGAAAAAAAAAAAAATGCGAGAAGCGCGGAAGCCCGCGTAAAATTTCGTACCGTGCGTGTTGGCTCGATGAATATGCGCCTCGTACGGACGTCGATATCGGACTGAGCCGCCGTTAGTGCGCGACGATGTGCGCGAGGGAACGAACCTACGGAACGGGAACCTCTGGAACGACATCGACGTCTGCACAATACGACGAAGGTTCGTTCTACCGGTGGTCCGGTCCCCCGATTGGCCGTGGTAATTGTGCACGTACGCGCATACGCCGACCGACCGACCCCTTTTAAACGGTGAAGAGCCGGGTAGCGCGAGCGTTGTTATCTTATTATATTATAGAGCAGAAGAGGCAACGGTTTGTAATAAAATGGGGTGGAAATAGTCGCAGCCGCGACTTTTTTCTTCCACGGGAACATCCAAATTTCGGACATTACAGATATCCATCCGACTACATACTTTATATATATTAAAAATTAATAGAAAAAACGACTTTGATGAAAATTATTACGCACCCCAATTAACTTTTATCAGCTTGTTAACAGCTTACAAGATAATTCCGTTCAATCAGGGTCGCTGAGGAATGACGAGCGCTAAATGTAAACTTAGAGATAAATCTGTTATCTACTAATCCACGCCATAATTTTCATCGAAATGTTCGCTAATTGTTTCGTGTAAATAACTTCGTTAATCTTTTAGCTTCGAAATGAAAATGATTTTTTTTTTATCGCTTGCAACGACGATGTTTTAATACACAACTTGTTTGAATTTCGCGGCGTTTTCCTGAGATGACAAGGGTAGTTTAAACTGACAAACCGGCGTCATCGATCGGATTGTTGTTCCATTAGGGGGTAGCAGAGATACGTTCGGCGGCCGCGCAGCTTCCCACGCGTCATCGTTTCCGTCGTAACCGCTTCGATCGAAAAGCTTCCGCAGCATCCTCGTAACCAGGTCTAAACATCCAAGAGCATCTTAACTCTCATTCGGGATACTTTACCCCTTGATGAAGAAAGCAATTTTCTCGGAGATAATTACTTCGTAAAATATCAAGTTGATGCGTCTCGAAATTAATCAAAAGTGATTAGAGAATAAAATAAATAAAATAAATTTTTTTATTTTTCGCTATTTCTATTTATTATTAACGTTTATTATCTCGCGTGTCGTATATTTTATACATTTTTTATTAAAAAAAATATGTCATCCTCATTTATCTCGAATTCTTTTTCACAGTATCGGCAAGCTTATGACATAGGTAAAGAGAGTTGCGATCACCCAATGACGTCATTCGACGCTATAGCAACTGTATCATCTCTAGAAGACCAAACGTTTTGCGGGATCTGTCCCAGTATGCTATACACGTACATATAATGTACATATGTACACAGAGAGGCGGGTCAGCCGGTAGCTTCCTCGGATTACGTAAGCGATCGCGTAACCTTTTGACCTTGTTCTCGAATTCTCCGCTATCTGCCGCTTGCATATCACCGTTTACCTGATTTACATTAAATAACAAGCATCGGGGGATATAGTGATACCATGTCATATACACGACAGTAACGACCCTCGCAACATTCTGCTTTGAATGGGCTGCGCCCAGTGAACTTCGATCGTTGTACACATCGATAAAAAAAACCGTCTTGTAGGAACGAATTGTCTAAAGGAGGTTCATTTCAGAAAGTTGAGAGAATCCATTTGCTTCGAGTTGATTGAAGCGACTGTATCGAGTTTGAAAATCCAATATGCCATTTATCTTTCCTTTCCGCTGATACACCTGATTACGGCGCGCCAATGTCGCGAGCGGTGCTTGCATAATATCGCGTAAACCTTGGAAGCAATTTTCTATATACAAATTAGTTTGAACGGCCAAAGTACTAACAAAGAAATATGTCGAAAACTAAGAGACTTTTATCAGTAAAGAAATTACCATATTGTACATATTAAAATATATACTGGGTATATATAATGTTTGATAATGAAAATATGTCGTTAGACATGTGTGTTTTAATAAGGTAAAATAATATAAATTTTTGAGATAAATAAAATGATAAAAATATGATCCGTATTATACATACGACGTTTTAAACATCCATTTGCAGCTTTACGTATGCAACTTCATTTATAAATCGTTCTAAAGTGACATTTGTGTGACATTTAAACTGCATACAATGTGCGTTATGATAATCTGTTTTGTATTTTTATGGAAATAAATATATTAGACTCCCAGCAACGTACGTTATTGCCGTAGATGATACACGTGCCCAATGAGAATAAAAAACTGTTTGGGAAAATGTCATACAAATGCACAATGCGTGCACGTAATGAGCGATACATGTCCTTGCTGTTCAATGCACCGTGCTAAATGCGATGAACAACCAAACGGTGGTGATTGCACCTGAATGACGCACAGGATACGTCCGATCTTTTTCCTGTTTACAAGCCCTCTTATTTTTTACAAGAATTGTAACATACGTCAGAAGTGAAAAAATTCATAGTGAATAGATCGCCGATCTAGTCTCTTCTGCGATGCAAAATAAGGACACAGGTTAGATACCCACGTTCGTACGTTTACAACCAAACATCTAGCAACGCATAGCAAGATGGTTATACAAGACCACCTCTCATTCTCACAATGCTCACTCAACTTCTTTCTGCGCGTCGGTCTAAAGGATTTTTGTACTATTATTTTGAATGGTTTCTGCGTCCCTTGGGAATGAACGCGGATTATGTGTAACCCCAAACCGGTAACAGGCCAATGTCACGAGGTTCTCACGACACCATATTCGATGCTTGATATTCTGACCACCATATTCTAATTTATGTAAAAGTTTTAAAAATTTTTGATAAAAAAAGGAAAGATATGACGTTACTTGTTAAAAATATTTTTTATTTCTCAAGTTACTACATTGGTATAGAAATATCATGTAGAATTAGAATTGCCTTGAATTATCTAGTTTTTTTTTCTAAAGTAAAATCACTTTTTTATCAATAATTATTCTAATGAAATAGGTCTTTCTATAAGACAAATATTTTTTTTTTCTTTGTGAAACAACTTTTCATATTATAAAGTTCTGTTACAATAAGAAGAATATATCTATTTGCGTGCAATATCGTTGGGTCAACAACTGTGTCAAGGATGTACTAGCGCGATGTATACCAAAGAAATCGATTTGTTTAATAAATGTATGCCACGATCATGAAACTATTATTACTATAATATGCGTTTGTAAAAGATTTATTCCGCGGCACTTAATATAACGTTGATCGACAGTGCGATCTATATTTTTACACATTTTATTTATCTTGATGCACATAAATAACCAATGAAATACAACACAGCACTTCAAACAGATTGATCATCTTTATGGCAAAAAATCGAAACTTTTTGTCAAAGATCATTTCGTATCTGCAATTTTATTAAAGCAGTATATTTTTTAAATCATATTATTTAATTTCTGTACCCCTTGTAATATATAAAAGCACAATATAAATCTTCGGTACATACGCGCCATGACAAGTAAGCTAATATGGTACTACATTGGTCGGTGTAAGTGGACGCTTACCATAGATTCCCTCCCATAGACGGTCTCACGTCACATCCTCATTCAGGAACTTATTAATAATGAGACATTGTTTACGATTCATCAATGTTGATCCTTCTACACTATGGAAATCTCTATTAAGAACAATCAAAGTTCTTATAAGCGTGCACAAATAACTTGTGCGAAATAATGACAAGTTTGAACCATTGTAATTTACTTTCCATAATTTTTTTCCAGTAAATCCAATTTTTTTAAGAAAATCTTGTGTGTTACGTACGTCAAAATATATTATAAATATTCATTTAAAACTCTTTGATGTATATTATCTGTTATTAATTATTAAATATATAATTTAATTCGATGTAAATTCCAGCATGATGTGTAATGTTGAAGATTAATTAAGAAAATATATTTTAGTTTTGCTACATTAACTGCCGTAATTTCAAAAACATATAAAATTAAATAATTATATAAATAATAATTTATAAAAGTATATTTTATACAAATAACACAGTAATCGAAGTCTACAATCTAAAATAATAGATTAAATAAATTTGTATACATTTGTCGTTTATATACTTTTCATTCGGACTTGCAGTAATTGGTACCTGTAAGAATATGCATTATAGGATAAATAAGCTCTTAATGCATACTTAATGTATACTTCACACACTTACCCGGCGTTACAGCTAGGATCCAATCCATGTAAGTACCAACACGTGTGTTGATTCCTGGTTTTTCCCCGCCGCAACCAAACCCAAAACTGATAACAGCCACGAGAACCTCTCGCTTCGTCGTAGGATTCTGCCAAAGAACGGGACCGCCGCTGTCGAACTATAATAAATAAGTTGTAGACAAAGTGTGAAAGTACGTTTTTTTTTCCTACGCAATAATGTTTATAAAATTTGCTATGCTACCTGACATGCGTCTTTTCCTTCTGCAAAAGTGCATAATTGACTATATGATACGTTTGGATTCTGTCGACGACAATCTCGATATGTCATCACGGTTACTGTAGCTTTCTGCAAAATTTTTGACTTCATTCCTCCGAACTGTGTCGTTCCCCAACCTTTAATTTTAATTAGATAAAAACTTGTAATTTGCAATAGAAACGCTGTGTTTGAAAGTATCCTAACAATAAGTGTTAAATAATAATTGCTATTATAATAATTGTCTCGCCTAATAAATCCACATAACTTCCTGCGAAAGAATCGGACTGATGTTGAAACGGAAGACAAACTGGTCCGACTTCCTCACTGAAATTTATAACAGAATTCACCATTACTATAGCTATGTCATTTTCTAAGGATTCGCTGTTATAAAAAGGATGTATGTCAAATCTGGATATAGTGAGAATACGTGAGGCATTTGTATCTGCACCTAAAATATTTAAAAAATTCTACAATTAATATAAACGCTAAATAAGATAATCTTCATCGAGCAAGTTTTGACTAAATAAAAATTATTTAGGACAACTAGTAAAGATTCAGACATATTCTACATTACATTTTTAATTTCTTAAATATTTAATTTGTATATTTAAATATTAAAATAATAATAATAATTAATAAAAACAGAATAAAATTGTTTTCTTCGAGAAAATTATTAAGGAAATCTCTCTCTTCAAGTTCCTTAGAAGTACCCGTGCTGAGATCATGATCTCCCACAAGTATGCCCATATTACTTGTATCTCTATCGGTCAAACAATGTGCTGCAGTTAATACATATTTTTCGGATATGATAGTTGCTCCGCAATATACATCCCTTCGGGAAAAATCGACCAGACCAGCCATCATGGGGTATTCGTTCACACCAGTTTCCATACCTCCTACTATTTTTGTCTGTAATAAATAATTAAAATTAAAGAATATAAATTAAAGAAAGAAAAGTTTCTATTTAGTATTTAAATATTTCATATCTTTTACTCTAATTATATTTAGCGCGTACCGGTTTTTTCCATCCACATCTGCAGTCATTGTTATCTACATCGTCGATCGCTTGTAATTCGCACAGAAACTTAATGTCAACAGACCAGAATGTAGTTGATAATTCAATGGTCATGACTTTTTCTGTCGATTCAATGGTAAATGTCTCATTGTCACAATAAGAATAGGACGCGGAATCGTTCACATATACAGTTAGCCTATCTAAGGCGCATCTAAAATTCTATAGGAAAGAATATGCTAGGTATTATCCTAAAAGATGCAATTCAAATTAATAAAAAATAATTTGTTTTTGACGCGATAAAACTGACAAAATTAAATTATTCTTTTCGTAGATATAGATAGGATTGATAATTATGGCAATATATATATATATATATATATATATTTTCTATTAATTGTTCTAATTTTGCAATTAATATCTTACAATAAATATGTCTTACCATGGTATGTTGAAAATATTGCACGTTAATTTAACGCGATAGTCGCTTTCCGCAATCCACTTGCAGTAGTGACGGCCATTGGAAACATTAGGATAGTCGGAATTATACACATAATAAATGCTACCGGGTTTTAAATGTTGAAAATAGTTGCAATTTTGATGAAACAAGCCATTCGACATCATAAAAAAAAATGACAGCTTCAGCACGAATAGTCCAACTATAAAAGAATAGTTCGTTACTGAGAATTGTATTGCTCTAGATTTCTATTACTGATGTGCAACAAAAAAAGAAAATGCAATGTATACTTTAAGAATAACATTTTTTTAAATTTATAATTGTTATATTTAGTTTTCATCATCGACAAGAATTTTACGCTACAATATGTAAATAATCAATGATTTGATAAATCCGAGATAAGACAGTATTTAAAGCATTTGCGTCGAAGTTATTTCGGTAAGTTGTAATAATAATTAAATCATTTACGGCCAAATATCTTTTAGGAGTATTTCAAGAATAAATTAATGCAATGCAGTTGTCGCCAACATTATTGCGCAATCAAGATGTTCTTCTCTAAAACGTAGTATAAGATCTTTCGATTTTACGAACTCATTTATTTGTAGACATGTCTCTCCTTGGCAATCGAAATCGGATTTGCTACCAAATTGTCATGTAATAAAGTAGTATTACACGATCAACTCGAAGAAATAGGCAGTCGTTTATGAAGAACCGCATTGCAGTTGTTATCATATATCTCAAGTCCAGACAAGTGTATAGAGACATGCTATAGGAATCGAGCTTTTTGCTGAAGCAAATCAATTTCATCATTGTAATATTATTGTAATTTAAAGCTTTCGTGTGTATTCTACAAACGTTAAAAATTTAAATTCGTCCAAAATAATTGACGCGTTCGATGAAACAGTACATCGCGTGTTTCCGCTCCGTTTTTATTTTAAAACGGAGTATTTCCTTCAATTTTCTCTCTCTCTCTCTCTCTCAAACTATTGTTCTCACAATTATTTTATAACTAGTAGGCATAATTAAATAATTATCCACGTATTGCATGAGCGATTTTGCAAAGTCATGAAATCCACGAATATCGCTTCTGCGGCCGCATGGCCGTAGGTACAAACCTAAGAATAAATTGAACATATGTGTAGGTAGTTAGAGCAATTTTATTATAAATGGCAATTTTCTCCTCTCGTTCCCGGTCTACGACACGCTTTCAGCAGGCCCCACGTTGAATGAACTTGAATGAAATATGCATACGCGCGCACATGTGTGCCGCGAGTCTTCATTGATTCGTGCGACGGTTGCTCTTGTTAGCTGACTGCCGAGTAACGTAGGAAGCTCATGTTCGTTGTCATCCAACCGTGAGCCAGAAATCGCTGCGAAGCTGTCAGCATTATCTAGCTAAGAGCAGGAAGCCATTACGTTTACCGACGTCTGACTCGACCCGCTGGCAGCCACCGTCGTTGCTAGCGGTGAATTCTATTCTGGAACTCATTCTCAGTCGTTGATTGCTGGTTGCCATGACGGTCGGAGTCATGGCTGTGATCAAAACACAAACAAATTGTAAACCCACTAAAGTCTACTCGAGTCGACTGCGATTTGAAGTGCCACGTGTTTACGCTAGTAACATCGAAATCGCAGATGGTTTTTTAAAATTTTCTTCAGCTGTCACTCACCACGTGCGTGTTGGAGTCAATCGCCGACGATGCCAAAACGTGACAATAGCATTGACAAGTATACCAGAGAAAAGGTAGATCTTTTATAAATTAAATATTTCTACATTATTTTGCAGAAATAAAAAGATTTTTTTATGTAATGACACTCTTTGACTTTTAATATCCTTTATCGTAATCGCAGCGCGGCGGTTATAGGATTTCAGTCGCAGAAAATGAACTGGAACCAGTGCACAAACCATTACGTTACAGGCGGTTTCACAGGACAAGACGTCATCCAAAAGTCAACGGTGAATTTGAAGAATTAATTGATAAAAATGGAAATAATAATGATAGCGTTGCTCTGCCTAAGAAAAATAGCAGGCATAATGTTCAAAAGAAAATTGACAAATTAGCTGAGGAAAATCGGATATTGACGATGAAACTGGAAAGTTCTCATATAAATCCTGGTAGGTTCTCGCTAGTAATATATTTATTGTGATATAAATAATATTTGTTACTAAAAAAAATTAAAAAAATATTCTGTAAAATTTCAGAAACTATTGCGGAATTGAAAGAAAAAGATTCCTTAATGTCAAAAATTTGCAACAAATACCATAAGTTGTTAAAAAATCATGACAGTCTACAACAAGAATATGAGAAATTAAATGCTCTTTTGGCAGAGCGTGAAACGGAATACCATCAATTACATATACATCACAAGGAATTTATAGAAGCTTTACAAAAAGCAGAAAAAAACAATTCCAATCTTCTAACATTTAATCAAAGATGCAAGGCTGAAAATGTTCAGCTGAACGAAGATGTACTACTTCTTAAGCATGTCATATACAGATTGAATGCAGAGCTTGAAAGATATCAAGATAAATTAAAGGAATCTGGACAAAGTGTTCTATCTAAAAATATTAGTGACATATTAGATTCTAAGAGACCGACAGATGATATTAAAACGATATCAGAGTCATGGGGTTCTGTGAATATTCATGCATTAGGTCCGCTTTTAGACGCTTATCAAGAGAGCCTGTTGGAGAAACAAGAGCTTGTAAATAAGTACGAAGAGGACATCGCAAATTTTAGTAGCAGATGCAAGGAAGTTATCATGGAGAATGAATGCATGCAGAATGAAATGGAGAAATTGAAATCGAAGGTATTCTATTTGTAAAGAAAATTGTTATGTATCTTACAAATTATTGTAGTAAAAGTTTTGTGCAGTGTGCCAGGTATGCGGATGAAATCAAGATGATATCCGAGGATGCCGACTTGCTCAAGGAATTAAACGAGTGTTATACGAAACAGACTGCTCATCAAAAGCAAAAGATACACGAGATCCATTCGTTGTACGAGCAGAAAGTGGAGGTGATGTCATTTGACAATAACAGACTTCACGAACAATATCTTGCTTCAAAGACTGAATTAAGTAATCTCCAAGGGAAATATGATATTCTTAACAAGGAGTATGAAAAGTTGCAAAATGACAATACAAAAACGATACCCATCCATGTTCACAACGCTACCGTCGAGGAATGTAAAGATCTCTTTGAGAAGCTGAAGCGTCAATATGAAACTGAGAGGGAAAAATTATCAACTCGTATTAGAGAATTGGAAGAATCTTACGGTCAAAGTAAAACGCAATTGAATGTAGTCACAATAGAAAGAAATCAATTGAAAACATTGAATAAAAGCTTTGAGAAACGCTTGAAGTAAGCATCATGATCAATGCGTTACAAATTCTAATTTAAATGTGATTTATATTTTTACATATATACATTATTCATTCTGTTTCTCTTCGTTTTAGGCGTATGCAACGAAAACTAGAGCATTTTCAGAAAATTGTCCATTCCATGCAAATATCTCGAGATTCTTTCAAGAAACAGTTAAGGAAGACAACAGTGTATTGCGAAGAGCTGTTCAGCGAATATGAAAGGATGGCCGCCGAACGGGATAAATTAGTTACACTTTTACATGAAACGGAAAATGAGAATGCAAGTATTCATTTTCTCGGGGATACTATTACTCAACGAGTAGGTCACTTAAAGGAACAATTAAAGGTATGTAAAACGAATATGTAATATCTTATTGGTTTTTTTAAACGTGATCACGATTATTTTCAGATCATACACGAAGGTGCGAAGCAACAATTAGCATTGGCGGAGAAAAATATGAAAGTGCAACAAGTCGGAGTGCACCGGATGAAGGACGAATATCATCGAGAGGTGCAACGTTTCAAGCATTTACTGAAGCAAAAAGAGGAAACGATCGGACGACTGCAGAAAGAGATCAGCGCGACTCGCGAGAACTTGGAACTCGTTTGGAAAGTAACTGCTACGGACAATAAGAAAATTAAAGGAGCGCTGAAAAACGCAAAGATTCAGCACGTTTAGCAGAGCTTATAAATTATCTACGATGGAAGTGTGCAATAAATATAAATAAATTCCGTCCTAATATGCAAAAAGCGTGATAAAAAAGGATTACCGCCGGTGTAAAATTTCCTAACGCTTAACTTAGAGATGTCTCATCGGCTATAAACGGAAACTAGTCATTGTACAATATATATGTAGCATAAATACGTGGAAACTAATTATTTAATCTTTATAATTTATTACACACATAATAATTACGTCGTTTCCCTGTTGCATTTCCATTTTGATCGATATGTACCGGAGATATCAATCGAGTTATGATATTACGTCAGGAATTAAAACGTCGCCGCCACTCCGCTCGACCGACCGACCGATCATTAAGATAATGTATTCCGCATGATAATGACATCTCCCGTGTCTCAAATATTCACGCGCGTTTGCTCGTTCGGTAGGAGGAAATGGCAGATTTATCGATAGTATCACCGGCTTTATTTAGTGGTGACATCAACCGCGGCAAAAGGTTTTGAAGGTTGCCGTTGGTGACAGCGGAGCTAAAACGCCGGGGAAACCGGCGGTCACTATATGAAAAATTAACGTCCCCGTTTATAGGAGTGATCTCACGTTCCATTAATATTAACATGCAAGACGCGTAAGTGCGCTCGTAATCATTCGCATCGCACCTTGCGTTTGCTAAACGGCCTTTGCTAATTGCCGGACGTTTTGCTAGAGCGCAGATAATCTATATACACACATTGGCTTTTATGCTGATACCGCGATAACATGGATGTGACTACCGAGAAAACACTTTAGATATTACACGCGGTCGATTTATTTGTTTATTTATTTTTTTGTCTCTAACATTGTTGCTTTGGTTATATTAAGAAAATTACTCGAACATCTTTCAATTATGTTTATCAGTTCGCAACGAGATAATATCGGGCGATTTTTGTTTCTCTGCACTTTAGAAAAACGTTCTGCGCAATTAACCTGTTAATTATCTTCTTTAAGATAATTTATTTGCCTGTCGTCAATATTTCTTGTCGAAATATTTTGATTTTTATTTCTAAATCAAGTGTCTTTATCTATTTTAGCCATTTTGCCTCTTCGCTTTTACGCTTCTCCATTTTTTTCTGTGTTTGCGGAAAAATATTCGCCGTAGATCGCGTCTGAAAACGCGAATCGAATTGCCGATACTTCGATTCATCGAAATATTGCCATTCGAAAAATTTTGAATTACAGTAAATTCGGACCATGTTGGAAAAGACGCAAAATTGTGTTCGAGTCTCTCTTCCGTATTTCTCGCAGTCATTCACAATTCGAGGAGTGAAATCTGCACTCATGAAGATCTCACAAAGTCTCGAAATTGCGAAATTTCCGTTCGTTATGACGCTTTATGGAGATCGCCGGAATTTTGTTGCATATCAAAATCTGCGACGGCTTGCTTCCGCATGTTTAGTATCCATCGGGATTTTCGCACATCTCGTTTCATTCTCTCACCGAAATGAGACATAAGCCCGATTATTCTTTAATAGAATATACACATATTCGTCATTTTTAGTAATTAGTTATCAATTACGTGTAATTAACATAATTTCTGAGTAGTAAATAGTCCCTCAAAATCGCCATTTTAATATTGTGACGTTTTTTTCCGTCAAGGAGAAACAATCGCAATCATAATGTATTCAAAAGAGCTGTAATTATAAAGTGCATAATTTTAAATTGTAATTTCTTTTTTTAATTTCTTAAATAAAAAGTAAAATTGAATAAAAAAATAAAAATTATTAAGAATCAACGATGTTGTTTATCTTACATTCAAGAACAAATCACGTTTCACTATTCAAGACACAAGGAAGATCATTAATAAGATAATTTTTTTGAAACTTGCGATAAAAATTTCGTTAGAAAAAAATAAGAGAATGATTATCAAGAAGAGATCGAGGCGTTACAGATAATCTAAAGGATTGCTTTTAGGTTTTTTCGAGTAAATTCAGAAGATTTCGCGTACGCGATGCTTCGGCCAATAGGAAGGTGTGACGTTACACGCGCGCAAGAGCAAGCGAGAGATCGCATAAAATTGCGAGTATCTAGTTTAAAGCTCCGGGCGCCGGTTATATGTCGCAGTGTCGGTTATACACGCGACACGCATATTAATTTGAGAAACTAGTTCTCGCACAATGTACGCGCGACACGAGCTTCGAGCGGATCCGCGAGGACATCGAGTGCCGCGAGCGTGCTAAAATGAAAGGAAGCGAAACACGTGTCGCGCGTAAAATAACCCTGCAGGTAGATTTAAAATTCTGTCAAGTTTAATTTATAGTTTTCATTATTTTAAAGAAGGCCACGAATACACTAATGAAAAACATTTGAATAATTTCAGGATTCTAGATATAAAGGATAGTATGATGTTCTCTAAGCATGTTTAAAAAAAATAATATTTTAAAAATATCTTTGACATGCTACATTACCTTTACGTGATTTGTTATCCTGTGATATATTCATTATATTTATTAAGTAAATTCTGTTTTATAATAATGAAAAAAACTGAAAAATTATTATTGTAAAGAAAAGTCACCGGAACTATTATAGCAATAAACATTATGAAAATAATATCAAGAAATATTTTATAATTATTTTTCTTTATAACTAAAATATCAAACGGCCTGAAAGTCCGGAGTGGGGTTGAAACATTTCTTAAACACACAAGCATATTGATATAGGGAATATATATTTTAATAAGATATATTAAAATAAAATAGATTAAAATGAAGAAACAGAACAAAATACAAAATATGCGCGCATTCGTAAATACACGGTGCGTAAAATGGTGGACAGCTTCGTAAACTCAGACGCAAAGTCGCAAAGTCGCCGAAGGTGGGCCCTGAAGTATCGATTGAACATCCGACGGCGGATGATTCAAATTGAATATTCGCGGTACGTCCGAGCCGCCCCTGTCGCCGCTCGGCCGTTTCCGGCGCGCCTCGGGCGGGCTCGCGCACAGGCAAAATGTCGTCTGCTAGGCGCGTCGTCCGTCCGTCGTTCCTGCATACAGCCGGATCGGGCATTCGTGACGCGAAAATCGTGGCGCGATAAGGCGATAATGCGCGACGCGCGCGCGCTCCGCGCTCGCGACTAGGCATACGGTGAATACAAGTGAATCGGGTGTTCGGTGCGCGATCGTCGCGCGCGCGTGTACGTTTCCCGTGCCGAGCGGACGACGCGCGCTCGCCGGGCCGAGGAGTGCGAAGTCGCTGTCGCGCGAGGCATCGATTTTCGCTCGTTTTCCGAGCGCGGACGCGGCCGGACGAACGACCGGTCGTCGCTCGCGCCCTGCCGTGTCGGTTTCATTCCCGACCGGCGTCGCGGACTCGATCGTCACCGTGAGGAGGTGGTGCATCACCAGGAGGAGGCGAGGAGGTGCAACGAATTATTTTCAGCGTAAGCCCCTCTTCTTCCGCTTCTTCTTTTCCTGTCTCATGCCCGCGCGTTTCTTTCTCTCTCTCTCTCTCTTTCTTTTTCCCTCGTGTGCGTTCGTTATCGCCTCTCTTTCTGTCTCTTTCCCCTTACGCGTGGCACGCGTAAATCGTCGCCGTCGCGTGGCTCTGCCAGTTAACGTGCGGCGTCAGGTGCGGTGCAGGAGGAGACGGCGCTCCGCGTCGCACCGCACCGCTCCGCTCCGTTCCGTTCCGCGCCACGCCGCGTCGTGCGAGAACGCCGGAAGTAAGTAGAATCCTCGTTACACTTCGCGAGAGCGGCTAGGTTAGCCTGGCTCCAATCACGGCGCTACGACGTGTCCCGTTTGCGTCGCCGACGGGGCGGCGATGACGACGCTCCACGATACGCCGTCCGATCCGAGGAGCGAGACACGTGGGAAAAGTGGGAAATTCGATTCGCCAAATTCGCCGAGTGTTTCGCTCGCCAATTGTTTCACTCGCGATCGCGATTCGGCGGCCCCATTTCCGACCTGCTGTTGTGCGGGAGCAGCCCGTGTCGTTGGCGATATCGCAATCGCGCGTCACGCACGTCCGATAGCGCGAGTGTAGCACACGCGTAATCGCGGTTGTATCTTCGCAAAAGTGCGGAAGTGAGTGGCAGGAAAGTGCAGTTCCGGAAAGTGGGATGGGAAGGATCAAAATGCGCTTGGAAAGTCCGTGCGCGAAGTCCTGATCGATATTGTCTCAACGCTCCTCACTTTCGCCCTCCTGGTATCAATTACATCGCGCGTTTAGAATAATAAACGGCACGGAGGAGGGGGAAAGATTTAGGACGTTGATATAGAGAGCGAGCATATGACTAATCCTCGCTTTACCTCGCGATTGCGAGAACGCACGTCCGCGCGCGCGTGACGCGCGGTTTCTATGTTGTGTGTGTTTTTCGGTGTGTGCTTTCGTGCAAGTTCGCCGGGAAAAGTAGGCTGTGCCAGTGTGACTAAGCGCCAGGTACGCCGCACGGGTGCGATATTCAATTTACGCAATCGGCGGACCTTGATAATGTGTGGGAAGTGTAACGCGATAGCGCGGTGATAAACGGGCGAAAGGAGATCGAAAATATAGGAGGTAGGACGCTACCTCCGCTTGATAATCCGCGCGGCTCGGATTCGTGTTCGGGTTTCTAATTAATTAAAGCGACCGATTGCGTACGTCCCGCGCCGTGCGCGTTTCCGAAACATCCGTGCCGAGGTCTCTCTAAAAGTTTCGGATCGATACCGGTTTACTTTACGGTTTCACTTTTCGGCCGACCTTCCGTCGAAATTTATCGCTGCCACAACCCTCGACCCATATAACGCTCTCGAGGCAAATAGGAATATTTTCTGAAAAAAAAAGAAAAAAAAATCATGCGTTCGGAGGTGAACGAGTGGCGTCCGTCGATCGATCGATGAGCTATGCGTTTAATAATGTAATTAAAGTCTTCTATACTCATATTTATCCGGGAGAGCTCGAGGAAAGACCCATAAATCACATAGTTATATGTTTCGAAAACTCGTTATGTCGAATTCGTGCGACTTTATTCATCAAACGAGCTGGATTATATCGCCGTCATAGAAAAATATTTCTCTTTCAGAATGATATATTTTTCGAATGACTTTTTATGAAAAAAAAAAAATATGTGTCGAAAAATATATCAAGTTACTGGTGGAAATATACATTTTTATTTATCTATTTTGGTTTCTTTTTGATAAATCCAAGTGATCTGTATTTTATAATGGATATAATATTTTGAGTCACATGTAATTCATGGAGCATGTATGATAAAAGAATATATATTAGAAAACGTATTTTTCTCTAAAAAAATCGTAGCTTTAAGACTGCGTTTGAGGACTGCGCTATTGTCGCTGTCGTCATTCTATCCCTAATTTACCTTTAGTGAGGGACAAAGATAGAATAATGCGATAATAGCGCGCTATCCCCGAACGCAGCCTAAACAGAATTCTCTACATATCTTGTTTATTATATTCTATTTGCGAAGCGAGATCAAAAGCGAGAGTGAAAAGGATCTTTTCTGAACTGTGGTCGGGGATCGCGTCGGCAGAGTGACATTATCTCCTTGACCTCGTCGTCGTATTTAAGGCGAAACTATTCTGTTTACTCGACATGCAGATCGCGTTCGACGTTAGAGAGATGAAAGCCACGCTCGCCGCCAGAGAAATATGCCGCGGTGAGAATACATGTACTGGGTTTTTACCTGGTCGTAATATCTACAAGTATACAAGATTCCTATCTTTTATCTCGCGGGTATCGCCGCGACGCCGACGGTCGCCGTCGGGCTTCGACAAAGCGACAGTCACGCGGCAGATGCGAGCTTTCGTCGGCGACCGGTTATAACGTAGCACCCTCGTGAGAGAGGCTTCTTTAATGGTCGGCTCGTAAAACCAGATCCCAACAAGTCGGGACGTCTAAGTAAAACTACTGTAAACTGATTCTTTTCGTTTCGAGTTTCAACCGGAAGCGGCCGTTAATTGGACGGTGAAGGGAAGCGCGAATCTGTTAGCACTATTTTCTTGAATTTATGTCACGGCTTTATCCGCCGTGACTCGATTTCTTTTTCCTACCGAATTATACCTATTTTCTGACGAGGAAGAAAGAAAGAGAAACGTGCGAAAATATTCGCCCCGATATTTCGCGTTTTTCTCGACGCGCGCCTCGTCGCTCGCCGAATTTGCGTCGCTCGCCGGCGCATTATTTCGTCGCGAATCGAAGCCGTTCGAAGCTCGTAAGTGGAACGGATATCCGCGGTCGCGCGTCGTCGAAAGCGTTGTCGAGGGAAAGAGAGAAAAGGAACAGGAGAGGAGAGCCCGGAGAGTTCGCGCGCTCTGCTACTGTGTTCCGCTTCTTAATTACAGTTTCATCGCGCGCGCCGCTGCGCCTCTTCCATTCATCGCGATTTTCTCGTCGACGAGCGCGCCTTAATAGCGGCCTTGTTAATGCCGCGCTTTGATACGATTTCAACTCACGAGGGCTTTGTTCCGTCGCGCTTTTATTAATCACGCGTCCTCGGTTCTTTTTTCCGGCTCCTTGTTTCGGATAATCTAACGGTATCCCGTGTGTGCGCGCGCGAGCAGCAAATTCCGGAAGCTCGAACAGAAGTCAATCGGTGGGTTTGACTAAGATTTCGAGTCGGGGGTCAACGTACGGATAAGTTGACAGAGAGGAATATCTAATATTTTCATAGCGGTTTGTATTGAAATAGCATATGTGCGACACGCGGGAAAATAGCGTGAACTCGTGGTTACGGCATACAATCTGCATGCTCCAACACAAGTAGTGATGACATAATGAGTCAAGTAGAAAGCGCGAGTTTTACGATCTACAGGTGCTAAAGACTGAATCCAGTTAGAACATTCGCGAAATAACGCTCTATTCTAACAAACGTAATAAGATAGTCGAAATTATTTTACTCGCCCGCACGTGTCGCCATTCGTTCGTCAAGGTTGTCGGCGATCTCAAGATAGCCGCGTATTATTTTCAATATTAGATCCCCTAGTTTGTGTTCTTGGAAACGGCACGACGTTTCGGACTCCCCGTATGTAGCTTAATAAGCATGTATCGTTTGCATGATAAGCGACTCGTGACCTCGCAACCCTTGTATTCTTGCCCGACTGTTCTCCCCCATGGGGATACCAGTGGGGATGTTTGCTACCTGGAAAAACCTGAAATTCTCAGAGAATTTGTTTCTCCTTGAAAGTCAGGGAATTTTATTGAAAATCAGAATTTTTTTATTTTTTCTAATATTTTATCTTTATTTTATTTATTATCGGAAATTTATTGATTAAATTGTTAACGCTAATAGTGAATCCGTTCACTCTAAATATCAACACATTATTTTGACGACTGTTTAACATTGAAGACAATGATTTTATGTTAGATGCAATTTTGCAAAGACGGATATTTGTCTTAATAGTTTTATAAAAGTTGAATTTCATATCAGTTATCCATTATATAATTTCTTGTTTATAGCTTTTGAAAATTGATTGCAAATTGGTTTGAAAGGTTTGCAAATTTCATGTAATATAAAATATTTATTTTTCAGAATATTTATTTTTCTTATAGTTTCTCTCAAAATTTTTCAAATTTAGTTATTAAAACTCTAACTCAAATAATTCTTAATTTTATTTTATAATTTATAAACTTTTATGAATGAAAAATATCAAGGACTTTGCATAAATATATATTTATTTGTAAAATATATTTTAAAATATTTTTATTTTACCTGAAATTTTTAACAAATTGCCTCGAAAATCAGAAAATTCTGAGAATTTTTTTTTTTTCGGGTTGAGTAGACATCCTGGGGTACGTTTCAAAAGCCAACTTGGTTATTGAAAATCTATAATATGCGTGTAAATAAACTATATAATTTTATAAGATTGGGATTTTGAAATGTATTTCAGCAAGTTAGAGTCACGCGTAGTGTAGATGGTAATCTAAGCATTTAGCAACGAGACAACATCATTCCGTGCCGCGTTTCTGGCAGAAACACGCCATCGTGGTTTATCGTAAATGTTTCGTTTTCCTTCTCGTTTCTCGTTCTCATGTTTCACCCGGCGGCCGCAATCCGTTCCGCGTGAAACAAACGCGATCCGCGATCCGAGGGCGCGAAGGCAAGAGAAGGAGAAAGAAGTGAGTATTACATGTTTTTTTTTTTTTTTCGTCAGTGAACGCACGTGCGTCGAAACGCACGTGGCTCGGGTGGACCGACGGTGTTCGGTGTCGCGTCGTGCGGTGATGTAAACAATGTTGGTGATGTCGGGAAACGGCCGCGGGTTATTGTTGACGCGGTGGTAGCGGCACGCTTAAAGGACATTGCCATCGTGCGACGCGCCGTACGAAGCCGGAGATACGCATGCGGCGTGGTGCCCGAGTATGGTGTAAGAGAAGCAATCGGACGACCTGGGCTGCGGGGATCATGGAGTTCGAGCTGGACGGCAGCCTCAAGGAATGGGCGAAGGACAAGCCCCTGAGCATTCTACAGCTGGATCCCGCCGATCGGGCCGTGTTACGAATCGCTGGTGAGTACCGCAACGTCGTACATCGACCGCCGCTTGCCACCTTAATTGCATGCCTACGACTCTCGTGGGGATATTCCGGGATATGTTGTACCCAGCGCGCGCACCCATAGCAGCGCTCTAATGATATCCACGTAATATCCCCGATGTGTGAGAAACGCAACAAAGACGTTAGATCTCGTCAAATTTACATGCGAGATCGTAACGTTCGTGATTCAGTTCCTTCGCGATCCATGTATTCGCGTCTTACAAATATGATTTACGTTTAATGCAAATTGAGGAGAGTTTGTGAAAACTTGGATATATCTATTGGCTTGTCCTTTTAATACAATTGCTATTTTTGTTTTTCGGCCGAAGATTCTAACGTTTTGATGAATCTCCGGCTAACTGATATTAATGAACTCTTTTTTAAAAATAGAGGAACCTATCGCGTACACATTTAATTTTCCTTCCTCTGGTTTTCATCAAGAAAGATTTAATTTGATAATCTTTTTTAGTGAGAACAATACGAGAAAAGTAACGATATGAAATATGCTGAATAAATCATGAATGAACCGAATCTCCTAGATAGACTGCTATTCTAAAGGTAGCAACCGCTACCTTTGTTATATTAGAACGATTCATTTTGCTCAAAGAATAGCTCGTTGAATCGTGAATATGAAAGTAGCTGCAGCTTTAGTTAGCACATTCGAAAAATCATCCGAGCACAACGCGTAAGACGAGTACCTTGCCGAGTAACTTTTGCTCCTCGAGTCTCTCGCCTCTCCAGTTTTGCATTCGTGCATTCATGCGGCACGAACGCAAAACGCGGTGAGTCTGCGGGATTTCGGGATTTGCTGCCCGAGACGTCGGGATGCCGATTCATCTTGATGCGCTCGCGCTCTGCAAGGACAGAACAACGTTGACACATTCGCACGCGGTTATTTTAGCCGTTGGTTATTTACTTTCCGCCGATAAATATAGCGGCGCATTAGCAAGTGCATGGCCCGCCCGGCTCTTTCTCGGTGTAGCACAATGCAAAGCGTTGTTTCGGATCATGTATCTCGCTCCCCGAACGACAAAACGAACCGTCAACTTGGATTCGGCGTATCATAAACATCCGTGAATGTGCTCAGCTCGAGCCCACGTGGCTCATCCGGCCGAGCGAGATGTTGAATTGTTGATATTATTGCGGCTTGAAAATGTGAACGAAGAGAGAAAGAGGGAGAAAGGGAAAAAGTTCGGAAAGCATTCATTCGCCGGATTCGGCGAATTATGAAGCTTTGAAGTGTCACAACAATCGGTACATTATATAAACACTTTCTTCATCTTATTATTATTCATTTGTATTCGTGTATCTTTAACGACATCCACGACTTGTTATAGGCTCACTTCTTTAAGATTATTTTTTGCTACGAGATAATTTAATTAGCGGCTACTCTAAATTCATCGTGCTCTTTAGCGTAATCCGATATACCGCGGTGACGTTGACGTCCGATCATCGGCCGTGTCGTTCGCATGCAAATTCCTCTCTCACGGACCTTACGATCTCCTCCTACATACAGACATTTCTCATAATCATCGTCAGTTAACATTATTCGTTTGTTCAATCTTGTCAGTCATTTATCGCTTGAGAATGAAAAAAACCAGACAGTTTAGCCAAATAAAAAATACTCTTCTAGCACAAAAGCTCACCATTCGAATAGCATTTATTATATCCAGATTTTTATCACATTCTTTATTAGAATACTATATAATATGTAATAATGTGCATAATAATTACTGTATTATCAATAACGTAACTAGCAAATCATATTAATCTAGGAATTTTATGTACACGATTATTTTTCGTCGATTGTCAATTACTTCAATTATCTGTTTTATTGTCATATTGTTTCTGATTGATGGAGATTGTGTCGATCAATGTCGACCCTCGTGAACATGCGAGCGGTCTACATCGAATTTAATCGTTCGATTAGTTCCTTGATGACTCTGTTTACCCCGGAGATAATTAGAGTTATGTCAAAAATAATAAATAATGGATGAAGCGTGCGTTTAATAGCCCGCCATTTTAACAAGAAAATGATAGTTCGACTGATGCTTAAAAGTTCTGGGCGTTACCTTCGGACTTTAGAAATTAATGTGGCAACGATGCCTTGTATGCCGATTGCTCTATTATAAGTCGAGTTTCGTTCTAGAGATCAAGGAAATTGAGAATATTTGAGGTATTACTAGGGATATTTAGAACAGCAATAACTTTTAGAGTCCGGTGAAAAACCACATACTGAGAGAAATGTCTGGTTGAAAATAGATGAACCAGAAAATTCTGACATCAATCAGAATTTCGGTTATCTCAATTAAAATTTTAGTAGATTTTAAGCAGAAAATTCTGATTTGTCCATTTTCAATCAGAATTCCAATTAATCCAATCAAACATTTTTTTCAGTGTAGGAGTTCTATTTTTTAAACATCGATATATGAAATCTTATAGTATACGTAACGTTATGCCACACTAGGATTTTCATATGTGATATGTTTCAAGAATAAGATCCCAGTATTTATCTTAGGCTTGACACGCTTGCATGCTTGAAACAAAAAAATTCCATCGAAAATGATAAAATTTTCCAAATTTTTAGATAATAATAAGACATCAAAAATTATGCAATGCTTTCATCTATTTTTTTAATTCTATTTTAATTCTACTTTAATTCTAATAAGAAACTGCTTTTTTTAAATTCTCACGAAAAATAGGAATATATTCCGAATTGTGTATCAGTGTGCAGATAAAATGTGAAATGTCATGAAATTCTAGCACAATAACCATCGCGTTTCCGTATTTCGCGATGTCGTCGTACCCGAGATCTTCAATGAGGGGTGCCAATGAGAGCAGAAACCCGAGAGCATTCTGTAAATATCGAGTTGCACGTCAGAGATTGCCTTACCACGATAATTTTTTTCGCAGACATCTTTTCTTTTCTCCGAGATGCCTCGCATCTCTTCGGAGAAGTTCGAACTTCTCTGATTATTATCTACTTCGAACATGCACGATACCGCGTGGGTGTTCAATAGTCCTCATTATTCAAAGAGCTCGGACGTACAAAAATAGATATCTTTACGTCGGGGATGAACAGTCTGGGATAAAGCGTGATAAAGGAAAAATTTACATAGCAGAGAGGCGTACGTAAATCTTTCTACACGACAGATTCTCTCTGTAACAACTGACACGTTAGATTTTTTATCACGATTGTATATTCAATTTGCGAGGCACGCGTGTAACCAGCGTAAATCAGTAGCTAGCATAAGACTTATTAAGATCTTATATATCATACACGCATCTATTCGTTAAGTATTAATGGCCCGTGGCAATTTAAGTTTGTTATGCGCTATTAGTCATAGGATGGTCGGCGCACGTTTCGCAGTAGCATATTTCGTAGCTGTCTATTTGTAGGCCGATGATGTGATGCAGGAACTACCTGTCCATTGTTGCGTAATTGAATCACAATGTGTCTAGTCAGTCATAGCATCATAAATCATCTATCAAATTTCTCTCGATCGGGAACTGCCTCGGTTTGAAAGTTATTATCGAAAAAAAATTGAAATTTTTCAATTTAATTAAAAAAATTTTATCAAATCGAAGAAGAAGCTAAAATAAAGAATTATTTGAAATATTAGCTATATATATATATATATATTATTTTTTTTTTTAATTGTTTTGTTTCTAATTAAATTGTTTTGTCTCAATCTAATAAAATAAACAAAAATAGGTTGAAAATTTTTGTATACAAATTTTCCTTTAAACATTCCTTGAATGCTTAGTAATTCCTCTCAGGGTGTGGTCCTATGTAATATTAATTATACATATTAACAATGTTGTAGACTTTCAATGTTGTAGATTTTCACGGATTAATTCCTCGAATTATTGACAGCGGCTGTCTACCGATTGGGTTCGTCGAATCGCTCTATCTCGCTGGCTGTAGGAAGTAGGGACAAGTTAGGTCAGTTCACATTGAGCCACGACCGTGGAGGCGGCAACAGGTGCTCGGGTCACGGTTCGATGCCCGGCTATATGCCATCAGCCGCCTCCTCGTTCGTCTCTCTCTCTCTGCCTAGAGTCTGTGCCTGGCGATGCACGTTGCGCCCTCCACTTTTAATTATTGCCACCTGGACGACTTTTCCCCTGTACTTATGCGAGTTATAGGAGGCCATTTTGAGTTTTGCGGCATGAACGCTCTTCGAGGAAGGCGCTTCAATAATTTTATTACTTTTATCATTCACTCACCTTTTATCACTTTCTCACAAACGTGACGCATTTAATTAGACTTTTTATATTATAATTACGACTTTTCATAGAGTGCAAGTTTAAGGAGAGAAAGCGATTCCGAATTGTTCTTCAAATATCCTCACGTAAAGTACACATGTGGACCCATATGTCAATGCGTAAACGTAGAACAAAGCTGTTTAGACGCAACAGACTCCGACAGAATCGAGTCGCGCAGACTAAACTTACGCGCGAGACATTTCGCGGCCGTTCATTCATCCGTCGTTTAACACTTTAACACTTAATGTAAATTTAACCCCGTGGATAATGATCACCCACTCGAGTCGCGAGGTTTTTCATTCCGTAATTCGCGTGGGAGATGTAAAGACCGCGCGGCGGGTGTTCCTCGTCTTCCTTCATTTCTATCAAAAGCGAAGAACAAGAAATCGGGCACCATGTAGCACTAACTATTGCATAATTCGCAGCGCACCGTTAGAATATTTCGCGACGCGTCCAAGCTCGCGTCGCATAACGTCGCGTTGCGAGTATGTAGGCGCATAAGCGAAGAAATGTAAGTAACAAGTTAACGCGATCTGAATTCATTGCCTCGTACGAGAGCTTTCAACGTTCTACATAAGGGAATTCTATTTTAATATTCCCGAGGGAAAGATAAAAAGAGTGTTCTTTCTCTTTATATAACATTGCCAATTTAAATGTCAAATATTATTTAACAATCGCTTTATAGATATAAATTCAACAGTGAAAG